TTGATTTACAAATTCTTGTAAGAAAGGTATAAAATCAACAACATAAATTATTTACAGTTTACAGAATATATCTAATCCAAACATCAAAACTGTGAAAAACACGGAGAGTGTTCCAATAAACAATAATGACGCTTTGTTTTTCATTAGGTTATTCATTAGATTTATCATTCTTTAGATTAGGAAATTAGATTTCCTAATATTTAAAAGTCCTGGATATTAGGTTCCAATCAATTGCAATATAAGTGATTGACATTGTTGTATTCCGGACTGAACCAGAAAAGGGTGAACAGTCCCTTAGATACAATGAGAGATCGGAGAGACCAGATTGAGTCAGTACAGACAGCCCGAACCTTAGAAGAGTAGACACGCACACAAGCCGTCCATCTACCACTATCGTTCCAGGACTTGTACAACATACAGCGAACACACAGCATACAGAGGGAACCTAATTGAACGAGCTACTTGTAGAGGAGTTGAACAGAGTACATGTAGTAGTAAGCAATCCTGCTTACATATAACTGAAGTTGCTCCAGAAGTAGATGAAGTTGATCCTGCAGATCTTGCTTCTCTAGTCAATGGAGCTGAAGCAGGAGCTCAAGAATGTGATGTCCTCTGCTCTAGAGGACACTAACACCCAAGAGCCCCTTGTAGATCCCAAGATAGATATATGGTACACAAGGAAGGCCTGGGAGCAGGAGTTTAACCTTTATCCCGAAGTGAGCAGGGAGGAGGTTTACTCCAGGTTGTATGACCAGGTTGTAGATATGCTCCAGATCATGCAGGAGCGTGTCAACCAGCAAACCTGGAATGAAAGAGATAAAGAGCTGATTGATGGGCTGAATAATATATCAGTCATGCACGTAAGACTTGGTAGAGAAATTGCTTAAAGGTCAAGCTAAGAAACCTAATATGTAAAGGGATCATGGCTGATCAGTAAACCATCTATTTGTCTCTATATTGTGATTATGCATAAATTTATGAATATATGTTAAATAAATGTGATTAATCAAATAAGAATATATTTATTAATATGGGTGTTAAATGTTCCATAGACAAGTAATTGTATAAAGGTTTGATCCGTGTGATGGTGATAGCCCGATGTATAATGTTGTCAGGTTGCAAAGATAAGTAATTATATAAAGGTTTGATCCGTGTGATGGTAATAACCCGATGTATAATGTTGTCAGGTTGCAAAGATAAGTAATTGTATAAAGGTTTGATCCGTGTGATGGAGATAACCCGATGTATGATGTTATTTATTAATTGATCACATAAAGGTTTGATAACTTGAGGTGTGATCTTATCATAGTTTGCTAATTTAAGTTTACCAATTTATTGCATCATACATTTTTGGTTGTAAGAAATTACCACAACATCTATATATACAGGGTTACCCACAAAGAATGAGACTTCAGAGACGATTGTACGGAATTTATACCGTCTGTTTCCTTATATTCACGATGACGCGGTAACAAAAGTCATTATATGTTTGTCATAAATATGTTTTTCATAAATACATTTGTCATAATACGATTTTTATAAATTACATTTTTCATTAATTACAAAAGTCATAGATAACACAAGTCATAAATTCCATTTGTCATAAATACGTTTTTTATAGTATACAAATCATACATTTCTCATAATTTATCCCATTTTAATATGTTTAAGAAAGTAGAAAATCCGCAATTTTTTCAAAATCAAATCTGCTTTTCTCGGAAATTGCATGGAACATGGATCGTCTCGTGAGATTTAAGAAAACATCTAAAAATGTCAAAGCTGTTGATGCTTACCACTATACATGTATTACCTCAACAACAACAACAACAACAACAACTGTTTATGTTCCAGTAAAAGCTGCAACAAAAGGATTGTTACCCGAAAATCGACTGGAAATCTGGTGGGTGACTTTATCATCTTGTACCCCAGGATGATTATCTAAAGGTCTAGCCAGTGAACTTGTTAAATCTGACAAATAGTCAATCTTGTATTACAAATTGAAATAAAATGTAAACATATTTGAAAATATAATAGAATTAATATGAGAATATGATTATGTATGATTACTATACTATGAAAATCGTATTTATGACAAATGAAAGTTATGACTTTTGTAATTTATGACTTATGAACTTTATGAAAAATGTAATTTATGAATTTTGTAATTATGACAAACGTATTATGAAAACATATTTATGACAAAAGTATTATGACTTTTGTTCCCTGCAATTGTAAACTTCTTTCTGCCTTGGCCAAATCATTAAATAAGCCATTAGATTACTATATCTAGGGCCGAATACTTAATTTAACCAAAAGAGAATAGAATATATTAGAGTGGAATTTAAACAATCCCTCGGTATGAAATTTGTCAGTCCCTTTCAGTCTGAAAGGGAGTTCAAAGTGTACAATTCATGTAAATATGTTCACAAATTATACGCAGTACATCACACTTATACAGTATGATCCCTGGACATATCCATTCCAATTTCTTTGTTTTATAAAGTTGTTAAATAACTTTAAACGTGTTTATTTTCTATAGGTGACTTAAGCATTAAAATGTAAAAATCGTTGTTTGTTAAGTGAATTTAATAAGAAATCTTTTCTATAAAATTATGTTCCAGGGCCCAAAAGGTTATATAGCACAAATGTGTGAAGTACACCTGCAGTATGGAAACAGTACAACAAAATGTCCGTTTTACACTTTTTTCGAGTAAATTCCACTCTGATATATTCTATTCTCTTTGAATGTAACCTTGGACTCTTCACATTTTGAAAAAAACTTAACCTCGGGATTGTACTTTTATATGAGTTTCGGTTCGTCTTTACAGTCTTATTCTTTAAGGTTAACCCTCTATATCAACAGACTGAAATTATAGTATAGCCATATTTTCTGAGACATGAAGAATTTGAGAAAAATTAGAAAAGGAAAACACAATGATTGAGCATTTATTATGCTACGGATATTTTCATGAATGATATTAGAATGAAATATCAAAACTTTCTTCCAAATAATAATTTTCTAACTAGAGCTGTATCTATTTTTATAAAGTAGTAATCTTGCTTAGCCCGTCTGTCTGTTAGATGTTCGATCATTTATATAACAAAACAAGACATTCGTCTATATGTTCCCTATAACCAGCCAAACGGCTGGACCGAATGGGCTGAAATTTTATGAGGGAAACCAGGGGTATCCCGGGGGTAACAAAGGCTAAACAAATTCGAATACTTAAAAAAAATTTATTCAACGGGCAACGCCGGGCACTTCAGTTATTTACTCATAAACCCTTGGATGGATAATGCAGAACTATTCAGATGATAACATAATTTTGAATTGTTAACTTTAGTTTTAGAAGAACCAAAATTTAAAACTTTGTCTATTTGATCTAAGGGGATAAATTTTTCTTCAAAAAAATGTTAAGTTACATATGTATGTATATAAAAAACTTAAAATCTCATTAAAAAATAAAAAAAATTGAGAATATAATTTAAACTCGTTCTCAATTCCATTTTCAGTTTATTGGAGAAGAAAAGGATAAATTGAATTAAACCGTGTCACATTTCTGCACTTTAATCAGAGTTTGATAAATTTGACACAATCCAAGAAGATCTTAGAATCGTTATTCGTTATCAATGCATTCAATATAACAGCACTTAAATATTTACTTTTTAGGAGTAACTTTAAAGTTTAACAATCACTATATAGGTTAAAAACTGTTAATAGAAACCACAACATTCAAATCAAAAAATGATTTTTTTTCAAAATAATTTTTTTCATAATTTCAAACACAAATGACTTTTATTTCAAAATGGTTTAATATTACGTGAAAAACTTTAAATTTTTTATTGCAGAACGTAAAATTAAAAATTCACTCTGAGATTGTGTAAGAAACTTTTTTTTTCATCTCTCATTTAAATTTTACATTTTTTCCATCTTCAGGGGAAATTAGTTCCAAAATGGGCCAAGTCTGCAACGGTTTCTTTTCCAAGCGTATATACATTTAAATCGAAGCCGAGTTGAACAAAACTTCACGATACATTTATTAAAAAAACTGATCAAAACTATATAGTGAAACCAAAAATGTCAACTTTAAACTAATATAAAAGGTGTGAGAATTAGTTTTTTATAATACTTGTCACTTGATTTCATTTTCGAACATATCCCTATTTTGAAACAATTACCGCATTTCAATTTGAAACATATCCTGGTTTTGAGACAATTACTCGAATACATATCAATGTAAATTTTCAAGCATTTCCGCAATTACGGAAAAAACAAGATTTTTTGATAAGGTAAAATAGTTAAAACTAGAATAATAAACATATTGTTCTTTTATAATTCAAAAGACATTCCAGCATTAAGAAATAAAAATAATGCTATTATTTTGTTTTCACAGTATAGATTTTACAAGTAATGCGGGAAACTGTTTATTTAAAATGCGGGAAATTAAATCAACTTCATTCTCTTATTAAACAAATAAAATAGGGAAACAAATATCTTAGAAATAATTCATCAGTTAATTTAGTCTTAATAAGATAATTCTTTACTTTCAGTGGTTTGTCTTGTTAGTTATGAAAGTGAGTTTTGTTCTGAATTGTGAATTATACTCAAAAACGGGAAAGTGAGTTTTTTGTCGAAAACGCGACAATGATTCAAATTCAGGATATATTCGAAACTTGTAAACCTGACAATGTCCTGAAAACTGTCAAGGGTTTTAAAATAAAATGAGCTAGCTCCTTATAAAATTCTTATCTAAGAAAATAGTTTTCAATTGGAAATTTTTGTCCTCGTCATGCTTATTAAAATGTTGGTTCTAGTTTTTAATATCGACTTTTACTCTCGATGGGATGGCATCTTAAGAACCCGTGCAGTCATTCAATTTGTGCCCATTTCTAACACTCAGTGTTAGAAATGGGCCAAGTTTTGGTATTGGATTTGGAACTATAATGCTACATATAGAATCAAAGTACTTGCAAACTGTACATTTTTAATACATTTTAAATGAGACGCTAAACTTTTTTTAGAAAATTAGAAACTAATAAAGTTCGGGAAAATTCTACAAAAATCCACAATCTACAGTAGAGAGAAAATACACAGCATAAGGTATGAGTAATCTAAACAAATTCTTATCAATAACATTTTTCAATATTAAACAAGGATAGTTTTAATAAAGTACAGACAGGAAACATGATAACCTATTTGATAAAAGGTTCACGAAACAAGAATTAAAATTTTTTTAAAAAGTTTATTTCAACCCCCCCCCCTCCCTAGTGTTTTGACATGGTTAGTGTATAATAAAACACCAGATTATTTTTCGACTAAATTTACATTAAAATAAAATAGTTTTCAACAATTTAAAAAAAAAATTTAATATTGTTTTATAAAGTAGTATCTGGGGTTTCCAAAATGATATTAAACACCATTCCAAGTCAAAACTATGTATTTTATGAACATTTGAAAAAAAAAAAGTTCAAAATGTCCAAATACGTCATAAATTTAAGATAGTTAAAAATTCAGAAAAACGGAGTTTTTGAACTGTTCTTTGATCGACAATTTTTGAAGGTATTTCAAAAAGTTATGCTATTTTAGAATAAGTATAAAATATAGAAAATGAAATTTTTTTTATTTGTTCAGTTCAGTGCTCATCAATAAAAAAGATGATCTTATAAAACTTAGAATTTTCAAAATATTCAGTATCAGTTGAATCTTTTAGACCATTATCTGCGATTTCCAAAATGATATAAAACATTTTTCTCAGTCAAAAACTTTGGATTTTATAAAAGTTTTAAGAAATAAAATCAATGAAGTTTAAAAATTGCCAAAAAATCACGCTTTTTTCCGGGGGCAACGGAAGAAATGGTCAGAAATAAAAAATATTTTGGATTTTTCTTAGTTTCATATATATCTATTCAAAAGAAAAAGTGCACCTCTGAACAATTTTTACAGGGCTGCCTTACCCCTCCCCCCAAAGTTTGTTCCCAAAGGAAAATTAGATTTGTTGAGTATTAATGTTAAGGAATTTGAACGCGATCATATGCATAGTTAACATTGCAACTTATATGTAAACACACAAAATAATAATGTTAAATTTTAGGAAAGCAGGGAAGGGGGAGGGAGGGTGTTAAAGTTATTCAATATATCTATATATAAATTTGGCTTGTCTGTCTGTTTGTTTGTTTGTCTGTTTGTTTGTTTGTATCCAATAAACGTCAAAACGGCTGAATTGTGGGACATCACGTGACCACAGGGAAGGTTTATGAATGATCAAAATTTCAAATATTTGTCTCCATCAAAATTCGATCTTCATTAAATTTTTGAAAATTTTGAAAATCCACGAAATTTTTTGTGAAAATCCGCGAATTATTTTTGTTTTGTTTTACGATGTACACAAAGAGAACATGTTCACAATTAATTTAGAAAATAGGCGCGAAGCGCCCTCTAAGGCTAGTATATTATTTATAAGTTGATATCTCTGTTTGTCTGTCAGTTTGTTTGTCCCATCATAACTCAGAAACCCCTGGACCGATTTGCCTCTAATTTTGATTGGGGAACTCGGGAGAACCACATAAATGTTCTTAGTTTATTTTTGAGATTCTAAGTTCAGTGGGTCGACTTTATTAACGAAAAATTAGTTTCCCGCTAAATTGTTCAAGTGCGGGTAAATGGGGGGAGTAACTTTTAGTAACCTTGGCAACGCTGTGTTCCCGCGATAGTTCATTAGTGTATCTTTGTTTTAAATAAAAATTAACTAATGTTTTTCTTATCCATGCATGCTATTGCCTTAACTACAGGGTTAACAAGAAAGGATAAGGCTTCATAGACGACTGTACGGAACTTTTGCTGATTGTTTTCTGTTATTCACGATTCCCTGCAACTTTTAGCTTGTTTCTTTCTACGACAAATCATTAAACAAGCCATAAAAGACTTAATGTTAGACAGAAGACTTAATTTAACCTAAGAATTGTTTTATACGGTCAGTATCTTTACAGTCTGATCCTTTGTGGGTAACCCTCATATAATAATATGGCTAAATGAACTATATTTAAACTAAACGTTTAGCTACAATTCTCTCAATCAATTAGATCCTACCTCTGTTCTAATTAGTAGTTCTAAACTCCCCTATATGTTGGTTTAGTCTAGGAGAATTTCAATCTTGTAATTGGAGTTAGAATAGATGCCAGAGTTAGGATTCAATTAAGAAATTTAAATACAATTTCATTAATTAGGCCTCCAAACCAATCACAATTAAAACTTAGTAATCAATCTTTTTTATGTTCTGCTTTTAATAGTTTAAAATATACCATACTTTTTAAATTTGTTGTTGTTCAGACCACTTTTAGACAAATTTATGAAATCTATCTGATTTATATTCTATGAAAACTTCGAAACATAACAGTAATATTTTATAATTTAAGTCAAAGTTAACTGATTTAAGAACAAATACAGTTATAACCAGAAAACTGTAGAATTGGAAGACGACATTAAAGTAATACTGAGGTGTATTTGATGTTGTTACAAAGCAAATATCTTTATCTAGTAAGATATTATATCATTTGTTATGTGAATGGGTCTGTTTACACTGCTCATTTGCTGTGCTTTATGTTTTTTTTGGACTATTTAAAGTCACAACTCGAGTCTTAAAGTCAACTTCCTATTCCAGAGTTTTCTGGTTATCACTGTATCATACTTTGGGTCATATATGTATGTAGTTCTACTTGGTATTTTGTTTTGAAATTTTAAAACAACCTCTTCATGTTGCAGCTTTAGCAAGAAATAGTTTATTTATATTGCACTTTGTACACACTGTTAAACTTTCTGCATTCTGTTTACGGGGAATGACTGGCAAGAAGGGGTTTAATTTCCCTAAGGGAATCCGCCCCATCAAATGTGTTTTTATTTAATTAATAATTCTAGTGAATATGTTTTTTAAAATTCAAATTTTAACAAAATGCTATGATATTTTCTGTTTCTCTAGATCTTCATTTTCTTCTTGTTGTTCGTGCTAAATTTGTAAAATTTGTAATTAAAAAAACAAGTATCAATAATAAATAAGCAATAAAAATAAAACAGGTTCAATTCTTTTTTAATAAAGAAATTATTATTTTATTCATAATAGATTGTACAATTTGTGCATAACACTGTGTTATGAACTGATTGATTGATTAACGTTAATTTCCATATGCATCAAAAAGGCGAGCATCTTAAGTTATGAATATTGTAGGATGCTGATAAAGCAGATTGTTGTGTACACTGTGTACACTGTGTACTCTATGACCCCTGTATGTGGCTGGAGTTTGAACCTGCTCCACGTGAATGATATACACGTGAGAATGGAGGAAACAAACAAGTACAGTGCAGGCTGTAGAATAGAGGACAAGGAATTTAACAGAATTAATAGCCTTTATCTAAATTATCTTAAAGAATCAATACCCTTTATCTAAATTATCTTAAAGAATCAATACCCTTTATCTAAATTATCTTAAAATCAACTTTTATGAATCATATTCACGGATATTCACAGTATCCATTTTAAACCCAAACTTTAATAGTTTCCTACACAATAAGAACAATTGTCATAGAAAAAAACCGGAGTGAATTCCATTTCTATACTGCATTAAGAACCAAAAATAAGCAAATAGTTTATAAACTAATTAAATCAGATGTTAAGTTAATTAGGTCTGTTTACACTGCATAATTATTATACAGGGGTACCCACAAAGAATAAGACTTCAGAGACGATTGTACGGAATTTATACTTTCTATTTCCTTATATTCACGATTCCCTGCAACTGTAAACTTGTTTGTCTCTTTGCCAAATCATTAAAAAAGCCTTTTATAGATTACTTTCTATAGTGCAGAATACATAATTTAACAGTGGGATCGTTACAGTCTCAGAAGAGTTACAGTCTCATTCTATGTGGATAACCCTGTATGTCTCATGTTCATTGGACTATTTAAGAGTTTTCTAGTTCTCACTGAACATAAATCAAAGATTGTAAGAGATCACATAAAATCAGGATTTGTTTACTAAATTTGTTTTAATGCTTTGATTTATATCTAGCTGTGAGACTCATGACCAGCTTGGGTGTAGAACTGTAACGAGACTTCTTTTATCCACTTACTTTTATGATTGCAATTAATCTGAGAAAAACAGAACTGATGTTTCTATTGATGCTATTCATAAAAAATATAAACTTAAATCTGAGTGTTGATTCTAAACTTGAAGGAGCGGGGAAGATGCTATGGCGGATTAGCGAGGTAAATTACATTAAAATAATTGTCCTTAACAAAGTTTTCATGTGTACTAAGAAAAAAAAGCACAAAGCTTTTTGTCCATTATAAACCAAAGTTGGGACTACTTGTGCAACGTTTACTTTAAAGTTTTGAAGAACGATCCAACTTTTCCATTTACATATTTTTTTTAAATCGCATTTTCTTAAGCGTCGCCAGAAAAGTTTTCTTCTTTCTGTAAAATCTGAGTTGTCAGAGCCTCGAAAAAGTTTCATTGATTTTTGTGATTACGTTATAAATAAAAGAATACATTTTTTACGATTTACTTTTTGACATATAGAGATGAACATTGTGCATTTAATTGTTCTGTCAATATTCCAGAAAGCAATGACTTTTGATCACAATTTCTCCTATTAAACATAATTTTTCAGCCTTCTTTCTCAAATACTTTTTTGTCGGCATATACGTTTTGAATAAAAAGTATTAAACAAACAAATCGGTAACTTTAAAGATTGTTAAAATTTAAACCAAAACGAGTATGATTTCAAATAGACGAAACCGAATGCCTCTAACTCTGGAGAGTCCGGGGTGAATGATAATTCTGTAATTTGTAAGGTCCTTAGCTTTTCCATTTCTTATTTTCTTATTTTGTACTGTACTGTACTGTACTGTACTGTACTGTACTGTACTGTATTGTACTGTACTGTACTGTACTGTACTATACTGTACTGTACTGTACTATACTGTACTATTCTGTTCTGTACAGGTTGTACACAGCAGTAAATGAACTTAAAAGAAACAAGACAAACACACTTTGGTTAAATGCAGGAGATTTTTTTCAGGTTAATTTTTCTTTTTTTAATTTTTACAGATTTACTTTTCTATATTTTTTATTTTGAATGTATCAGTTAAATTGTTTACGGTTGTTTATCCCATAAAACTGCAGTACATTAATTTTTTAATAAATACACACGTCCAAATAAAATGTAAAGCAAAGCTGTCCTTCAGTCTTACTCAATTCAATTCAACGTAATTATTGTATACCAACCACTTAAAAATAAAATTTTGTTTTAATTGAACCACAAACAAAATTTAGTTTTTAATTGATATAGAAATAAAATTTTGCTTTAACTATGATGCCCAAACAAAATTTTGTTTCAATTCAACTAATACACAAATAAATTTTTTTTTTTAATTGTCATGAAAATAAAATTTGTTTTAATTGATATAACGTTAAAATTATGTTTTAACTGTTTTAAAAATAAATTTGTGTATTAACTGATATAAAAATAAAATTAAGCTTTAACTGATTTAAAAATAAAATCAAGTTTTAATTGATATAAAAATAAAATTAAGTTTTAATTGATATAAAAATAAAATCAAGTTTTAATTGATATAAAAATAAAATTAAGTTTTAATTGATATAAAAATGAAATTAAGTTTTAATTGATATAAAAATGAAATTAAGTTTTAATTGATATAAAAATGAAATTAATTGATATGAAAATAAAATTTTTTTTACTAGGGAACAGTCTGGTACTCTCATTTTAAATGGAAGGTAATCTACAGATTTTTATAAAATTATTATTATTTTTACAATTTTGTCAAGAAAAGTTTTCACCGTGCTATTTCAATTTTAAAGTTTTTTTTTGGAAGTCACAATACTTTCTTATTAATGATTTAAAATCTATGATTTGGATAAGACCTAAAATCGACTTCCCCATAAAAGTGGAAATGCGGGAAAAGAAAAATATAGAAATCTGCAAAACTCAGTTCTTTTACAAATATAAATATGTTAAAAGCCGACCGAAGCTAAGATGTTAGTCACCAAATAATATCAAAAAGGTGAAAATGGACTCTAAGCATTTCTTATTTTAAAATACAAAAAAAAACTTAAATGGTCTCAATACAAATTTTATAATGCCGATATCTCTGCAACCTGATGCCTTAGACCAATTTGCTATATCAAACTATGAATACTACAAGATCAAAGGTTTCTACTTTGATTTGCACTGATATAGAAAAGATAGTGTGTGACGAGTATTCAAGTTTAAGAATTAAATGAATTGAGTTTTGTCACAAAATCTGTTTTTCTAACCCTTTATCTTTGCAACCTGATGTCGTAGACCTTTGATATTTCAAACTAGGAATTCTGTTAGATCAAATAGTATAATTTTTAAAATATAAATGCTTTACCCCATCAGGTTGAAAAGATATAGGGATTAGTAAATTAGTTTGTTGCAAAAACTTAGTTGCTTTGATAATCTGTTTTGAAGGTGGTGTCACATTTCAACAAGATTCTTGGGTTTGATGCAATGAGTTTAGGAAATCATGAGTTTGATGATGGGGTCGAGGGACTCGAACCTTTTCTCAGGTTGACTTATTCTCAAGAACAATCCTTTAAATATTTTTATCTGTTCCATTGTTTGTTAAAAACAATATTAATTTTTGAAATTTGTTGGTTTCAAAATAAAAAAACTAAAATTGATTATTGTAATAGTTTGGGATAATTTTGTAATAGTTTGGGATAATTTTGTAATAGTTTGGGATAATTTTGTAATAGTTTGGGATAATTTTGTAATGGTTTGGGATAATTTTGAAAACAAAAAGAGTTGAAAAACGTTTCAAAAACAATTTTGTAAATCAAAAAGCGTTCAGAGTTTTGAAAGCGAAATTTTTAAAATTATTTCTCATTTTCTCGTTTTAAAAATTTAAAAACGATTTTTTTCGTTTTTATGGCATTATTAACATTGCCCATTCCTTCTCTCTACCTGTCCCATATATATAGAATATATTCAGGGATAACACTTGTCCTATAGTAGCCGCTAATCTGGATATATCCAAGGAGCCTCTTCTCAGGTCAAATATATATTTTTTTATTATGAGGGAAGTTATTATTTCACGTTATAAAACCATAAAGTTACTTTATCGTCCTACAACAGGAAATACCGGATAGAAACGAAAGATAATTGTTTTCCTTTATATTTTTCGAAAACATTCCCTTTAAGCTGTATTTACAACTAGCTTAGAGATCAACCCCAGCCTGGAAACCATGGAAACTAAGTGTCCCAAAAAGATAAACCACTCAACTAACAACTGTTAAACCACATTTCCGTAGTTCTGCTAAGTTTTCCAATCAAAATTTGAGGCAAAAGTCATAAGGTTCAAGAGTTCCGATCGGACATACAATAGTGTGGTGGGGTGGAGATTAGTGGGATGAGTGGAGATAGTGGGGTGGGGTGCGTGACACCAGATCTCGTTAGATCATTGAAGTTAAGCACACTTGTCTACTGCCATTAACTGGATTGGTGTCCAGAATGGTGTTCACGGGTTCGTTTCCCGTACTTAACCAAACAAGCATCTGAAGCAGACATTTGGTTAAGCAGTTATGACCACCTGACGGATGTAGGAGGACAGAGGGGCGGCTGTCAACAACTCTTGCAGCGAAAGGGTGCGTTCGTTCTACTCAACCAGAAAGAAGCTTTAAGTGGATTGATCCAATTGAATGATGATGAAGAGAGGAAAGGTGGACAAGAAGGGAGAGTCTATGGTTGCCAGCTATAGGCTTACAAATGATTGGGAGCAATGAATGTGATGTTTCCAGTCTGTATGGCACCCGGGCCTCATTCCAGTATATCAGAAGAATTTCTGATCTCTATTATTCTCAGGCCTAAATCTAAGGAGAATATTAGGCAGCTGGAATCTTGTCAACCATCTTCTCAGAATGAATGAAGCGTGGATGGATGAATGTGCTGCCAGATTACAACCCCTGGTAGATCAATATAAACCCATACAACACCAAACTTTCGTAAAAGAAAAATTCCGAGATTTGATCGTAACACCCCGATCATGTCCTGGGGACAAAAAAAATCTCTTTTAAAAACTTTATATATATATACTAGCTTGAGAACCCAGGTTGGGCCAGGGTACTCATAGCTAGTCACGCTATTTACCCGCACTTGGTCGTAAATTACAATTTTAGCTATTTTTCCCTTTATAAGTCGACCCACTCAAAACCAAGCAAAGAACATTTCCGTCGTTCTCCCGAATTCCCCAATCAAAGTCAAGGGGTTTAAGAGTTCTGACCGTACATACACACAAACAGAGAAACAAAGATGACTAATTTTTACAATATATAGATATTTTGTTGTTTAGTGGACTGTTCACTCCGAGTATAGTGTTGGATGTAGGTGGGAGAAGAGTTGGGATTATTGGATATGTTACATTTGATGATGGAAAAAACCCCAGGTCTTCAACACTCTACGACAAGCACTGGAAGGAGAAGGTCAACCCATCTGACCTCTCCCACTCTTCCACTCTAAGAAGATCTCGGACAACATCTACCGAGAGCTGATGAACCTGAATTAGAACATTAATATGGTTTAGTTGAACATTCTCTTTAATAAATAAACCACACAATCCTCTCTTCACAATAAAGTCGACCCACTCAAAACCAAAACCCACACAAACAGAGAAACAGAGATGACTAATTTTTTAAATATATAGATATTTTGTTGTTTAGTGGACTGTTCACTCCGAGTATAGTGTTGGATGTAGGTGGGAGAAGAGTTGGGATTATTGGATATGTTACACCAGAAACATTAGGAACAATATCCAGTTTAAAAACCATCATTTTCTCATGTACAATTATTTAGTTTGGAAACTACCATTTTCTCATTTAGATTTATTTAGTTTGGAAACCACCATTTTCTCATATACGATATTTAGTTTTGAAACCACCATTTTCTAATTAACAATATTTAGTTTGGAAGCCATCATTTTCTCATTTACAATATTTAGTTTGGAAACCATCATTTTCTCATTTACAATATTTGGTTTGAAAACCATCATTTTCTCATTTACAATATTTGGTTTGGGAACCATTATTTTCTCATTTCGAATTATTTAGTTTTGAAACCACCATTTTCTCATTTACAATATTTAGTTTGGAAACCTTCATTTTCTCATTTACAATATTTAGTTTGGAAGCCATCATTTTCTCATTTACAATATTTAGTTTGGAAACCATCATTTTCTCATTTCGAATTATTCAGTTTTGAAACCCATCATTTTCTCATTTACAATATTTGGTTTGGAAACCATTATTTTCTCATTGCGAATTATTTAGTTTTGAAACCACCATTTTCTCATTTACAATATTTAGTTTGGAAACCATCATTTTCTCATTTACAATATTTAATTTGGAAGCCATCATTTTCTCATTTACAATATTTAGTTTGGACACCATCATTTTCTCATTTCGAATTATTTAGTTTTGAAACCACCATTTTCTCATTTACAATATTTAGTTTGAAAACCATAATTTTCTCATTTACAATATTTAGTTTGAAAACCACCATTTTCTCATTTACAATATTTAGTCTGAAAACCACCATTTTCTCATTTATAAAATTTAATTTGGAAACCATCATTTTCTCATTTACAGTATTTAGTTTGGAAACCATAATTTTCTCATTTACAATATTTAGTTTTGAAACCAACATTTTCTCATTTACAATATTTAGTTTGGAAACCATCATTTTCTCATTTATAATATTTAGTTTGGCAACCATCATTTTCTCATTTACAATATTTAGTCTGAAAACCATCATTTTCTCATTTACAATATTTGGTTTGGAAGCCATCATTTTCTCATATACAAGATTTAGTCTGAAAACCATGAAGATCAAGAAGAAAGGATTAAAAACAAGAAATATAGAAGTCTCAAAATGTTTCCATCTGATATCATATTAAAATTTAAAAATATTGTAAAATTTAATTAAAATAAATTATTAAAGTTAAAAAATGATTGCCAAGACCCGACCCTCCTGCTCTCTCCTAAGTTTAAATCTCATTGCTTAAACTAAACTGAATATATGTGTGTGCTGAATAGAAGTGTCTAACCCTGGAAAAGTTGGATTTACCGATGAAATAACAGCTGTAAAAGCAGAGGTGAGAATCAGCTCCATATTTTTTGTTATTTTCGATGACATTTTCCATTTTCCCCCTATTTTAGCCTTTTTAGACAAAATCAGTGATTTGAAAAGTGACTTTGCTTTGTAACAACATCAAATACACTTATGTATTCCTATTCAATTGTCTAAACCAATATAAAACTGAATAAAAGTCGTCTTTGTTCAACCTTTAATTAGAAACAAAGCTGAAAATGTTCTGATTCTTAATGGCTATGAGTTATGATCAGACTGATACAAGAAATATATTTGTTGGACTGATATATCTCTAAATATCTTAGGGGCAATTTTTCAGTGTTAAATAAATTACAAATTATAAAACCCTCAGGTATTTTTCTTATTAAAGTTCATGTTTTTTGTCTTTCAAAAATAAGTTTTCTTAGATTTTGATTATTTTGTGTTTAGGTAGCTAAACTAACCGCAGCCGGCGTTGATATCATAATAGGACTGGGGCATAGTGGATACTATAAAGGAAGGAATAAAAGAAAATATAAAGTTGTAATGATTTCATTCTAATAAGGTCAGGGAGGGGGTTGGGGGTATTTTCTCTAAAACTAGCTTAATTTTTTATTTGATCAGAAAATAACAAATTTTACATAAATTAGGGTTTCCAACGCTTTACGCAAATGGGTTTTACTTGCGCACATTTGCGGGCCCTTTAATATCCGCGCAATTCCGTGCAATTCCGTGCAAATCCTAGCAATATATTAGAACATTTGCGCTCAATTCCGCACAGTTGCGTGCAATTTCACGCAATGAAATTCTGATTGGAAACCCTATTAAAAATATATATTTCAAAACATTTCATTTTGTTTTAAATCTCTGTAAACATTGTGCTCAGCAAGTTCCAGCTAAAAATGGAATTGTTCACCATCTTTCCAAAACTGAGTTGTAATTTGAAATGCACAATTACTCTAATGGAAAAATCACATCGACTTCAAAAATATGATTTCTTAAAATTAACATAAAAGTATGATTTTAGTTTTGTATTCCTTTTTCTAGATTTAGAGATTGCAGAACAGGTTCCTGAACTAGATGTTATTGTTGGTAAACAATATGTGTACTGCAGAGTGTAGGGGGGATATATACTAGCTTG